GCGAAGTTAATTATATTTCTTACTAACACAAGGTACAAAGTAAGTGACCGGACAGAGGTGTCTTCGTCTAATAGTGTCTCCGAACTGTCGTCTCAATGGGATTATATGTAAGACAACTAAGTGAATTTGGGCCGGTCCATCCTTTAAAACCTTTTTGGCGTAAAAAAGGTGTGCGCTACAGAGAATGTTGATACACTGATCCTGACACTGATAATGTAAGTGAATTTCGGCCCCGAACTGTTTAAAGTTATAGCTGCCATTAAAGGGCAACTGTTAATAGAAGTGGGATTTTCACTTAGAAATCGATAAAAATGTGGTTAGAACCACCGATAAGCGTTGCTGTTACTAAAATTGACAAGGTTTGGTGGTCGGCTACGGCAGGTTTCAGTTCATGGATGAAATACGTATAGGCATTTTATTTTGGTGGTCGCCCAGAATTCTAGAATAAGTGGTTCATAAAGGTTCGGCTTTATTTACATTCGGTGAAGTCAAAATTAATTGAGACTAGCTAATTTCAGCATTGGTGAGATAAATAAGTGGTGCCCCGCATTGGCACAAGGCGCGAGCGAGAGCAGCAGTGAGCTTGGCTTGAATTCCACAGCTTAATTAAGTCGCCACACGTGGCTTTATGTAAAATTAAAGCTATTCAGTTGTTTAAATGGGTCCTTCCCAGGTGGCCAGTCACGTGGTACAAAACCGCCATGTTGGCGATCAAAAAAATAAAGTACTTGGACAAGACGAATAGAGATCTTACTTCATTTAAAATGGCCGGTGATTCTCTTTTTTGTCGGTCTTGTTTCGATGTGTTTCTCGCTTTCCAGCATGGCACTTTGTACAACGTGACTTACCAGCTGCGAGCGGCCATTAAAACGAGACATTGTGACAAACTGCCATCGAAGTTTCTCGAACAGGTAGCTATTGTTTCACCTGACATGTAACGGTGGCGTTTAACACAGAAGATCCTTCTTTATGCCTTCAAGTTCAAGTTCAAGTTCATTTATTCACTCTTATTCAATTACAATACAACAACAATAAGAAAAAAAAAAAGAAGTAAAAAACAGAGCTAACTATCCACTGAAATAATTATAACAAAGGAAAAAAGTGCGTAGCAGCCAAAGGAGCCAAGCTTTCGAGTTAGCTACTACCACAGAGCGGTTACAAGTGGATGGAAGTTGTACAGTACATCCTCTGTTTATGACTGAATAAAAGCCATACCGCAATTGTATCGAGCTAGACAACCAGTTTGTTTTTCCTGTTACACGTGCTTGGTCTCACAATGAGACAACAAATTAAATAAGTTTGTCCATTCAATCGGCAACCTTCCGGTGGTACCAAGGTAAAAACGCTTTGCACAGAACAAAACACCAAAGTTTTTGCCAAAGGCTGTGGGAATAATTAGAAGTAAATTATTTTAACAGAAATCTGTGAAGAACTTTCACCCTTTTAAAGAGTTTGAATGGGAGGGAATTGCTTCTTTCAAAGGAGAGAGGGCTGGGGGCCAAACAAGATAAAGCGAACTGGACACGAAGGGTAGAAGCTAGATCACTCTTTCTTATAGTTACATATATCGGAGAATTTATCACATGAGCGTGTTGTCTTTTCGTAGTTTTAAGAGAAATTTTACAAGGTTTTTATGAAGAAGTCAAACCCGAAGAATTATAACGCCAATTTTAACGAGGATGCCCATATACCGAGCCAGGACTTCGAGCCAGGACCCCAGCTAGGACTCGACAATTTTTCGCTTTCCCGCCATTTTCACCTCCTGCAAGTCACATGACCTTTAAGGGGAGGGCTAGCGTTAGAGGTGAGGGTGAGGGTTAGGGTTAAGTAAGGGTTACTGCTAGGTTAGGGTGAGGGGTAGGGTAAGGTTAGAGGGTTAGGGTTAGGGTTAGGAGGTTACGAGTTTGGTTAGGAGTCCTTTTTGTTGCTTTTGTGTTTTTGTTTATTAATTATTTTTATGTATTTATGTTTTGCTCACAGAAACATTAGAAAAGTCCTAAATGGAGTCCTGGCTTGAGTGTTAGCTCGAGTCATAGCTAGAGTCCTGGCGCGAGTTCTAGCTAGAGTCCTGGCTCAAATCCTGGCGTTGGTAACACTTCATACCGGCACTTAAGCACTTATAACTTAATTCCGCAGCTCAACTCCTAGCTGAGCGATTTTCTCTGGTGATGTTCTCGAACGTGCAAATTAAGTATGCTTAAAACAAAAAAAGGAAACGTAGAGGACCATCTATCACTGGGAATGTTTATTTATTGATTTACTATATATAATAACGCTATGTACAATTTTTATGTTTCGAGCGAACAAAAACACCTTCTACGTCTTTAGTTGAATATTTTCCCTGGTGTTTTTCTAGTGGAGCCTAATAAAATGTGTTTTGATGGGCTTATTTATTAGTACAAGCTTATGCATGTGCACTAAGTTCTACCTATCAAAAGCAAAGTCATATGAAATGTGATTCTACGAATGTAATGGTCATGCAATACGTCAGCCATTGCAAAACCACTGCTATTAATAATAGTTCCTAACTGGAGCAATGTCATGAGAAATTTTGACAAATTATTTTGCAACCTATGAAATTATCTTGAAATTAAAGGAAATTGAATTATTAGCTTTGGCTACATACGACAACGCCAAAGAGGTAATGCTGAGTCAACTACAAAAGGATAAAGGATGATTTAGGATGGAGAGGATTAACATGAATAGTAAGTTATTTTAAAAAAATGCAGAAACCATGACCTAGCTCCTGTAAAACATTTATTACACACCCTGTATACAAAGAAACAAGGAAACAGGAAAATTTTGTCCAAGCATGGTTCTGGCTTTAATCAAAAGACGGTCAAACCCAAAACCATAAATAAATATAACAATAAACTAAATAAAATTTCTCGTTTTCAAATCGACCAGCGACAGCTATTTTACAAGCATAATATATTATTCCCTGTTTTTCTGGTTTTCAATAGTCCTTTAAAAATAGCCATCACCATGACTTCGTATTTTCTTCAGGAACTTTGTGTAACCTCAGGCATACATACACGTACCTCCTTAGACTGAAATTAAATAACATGATCTTCAAGACAACAAATACCATTTTTCCATTTAAAGGAAGAACAGATATATCACCAGAAGCAAAATCCCCAGAGAAAAAAAAAACCCGAAGCTAAGTTTTGATATCAAATCGTTACCACAAATAACAGAGCCAGTTTGATAAACAATGGTATTTGTTCTCTGTTCAAAGCTTATAGACTAGTTTTCAACTCTTTCAAAATCGCTACCAGGTTTTTAGAAAACGATAACAATATATGAAAATTACTTCCTTTAACTCACACAGAATGTGACTCGATCAGATGAAAAGTAAGCATATCTCCACAAATGTGCGGAATTGTGATGGTGTACTAAATCAACAGTTATTTGTTTTATTACTTATAAGTATTACAGTTCACAGTGGTTTCTGTCCACTGTGTTACAATATATCCTAAATATTTCAAGCTACCCTTAACTGTTAGCACTTTCACCAAGAATTTAGCTTTGAGCAACATACTTTGGTCGTAAAAGTATATTTAAAGAAATAAACTAATCTAAACATTTTTACAGATACTGTGAGAGTGTACAATTGTTACGAAACCTATAGAACTTCATCCCGAATCGTCTCATCTAAATTATCATAAGTATATTGTATATTAATATAATTTTATTGTCTAAATCGAGCTTTGCAATACGATAAGACTTCACTGAACTAAATGATTTAAATTTATTTGTAATTGATAAGTAACTAGATTCTAAGCAGCTTAAAGTTTTAGTACCACTGGAAATTGAATTTTAGATTTTGACAAAAAGAAGCTACATAAAACGACTTTAATTCCGCAAGTCTACCTCTCCAACCAAAGTTGCTTGTGTTGCCGACCAGACTCCCTGGGAAGAGTTGTTCAAAGGACGAGTAACTATTAAAGTCTATTGTAAGTTTTCATGACATCTCATGAGTACTGATTGCAGTTACTACTGGCAGTGAAGGAACAACCCATCCCTTAACGGGACTGAAGAGGGGATAAACCTCTTGATTCTTTAGACAACGCTAGGGAAGAAATAGCTAAAGCAGGTCGCCCCACGGGACTTATTTTGACGCCTATTGCTGTGTGCTTGCCAACATTTGTACACCAATCTACGATAGCCTCAAGATCATCATCACGCTTCAAGAACACAGAATTAAGACCATTTGACGCCTAGAAGAAGAAGTTGTGTTGAAATATTCGATTGGAACTCGCGTTCGAATTATGATAATACTTCTTTGCGGACAATCTCTTTAGACGGACCTCCCGCTTTTATTGTCATAAGAAGAACAAGTGGTAGTATAAATATGACTTATTATCATTTTTAAGTTTGACGTCGTGGTGCCCAATGACATGTGACCGGTCTTCTCCACAGGGATAGCACCTAAATCAAAGCTGTTGAGGACTTCGCTCGATTGCTGTATTACACTGGACAGCCCAGCCTGTGTCTATTTTCTCGAACGGACATTTTGAGACAGATTGTCAAATTTATACATTGACAGTCGATGAAAATAAAAAATATTCTATTGTATGTAAGTCCTGGGTTGATATGTTACGTTATAGACTTTATATTTTTGTTAAGAATAAGGTCTCTTGTTATCTGAATCATCCATCTGATAAACTGTGAAACACGGAGATCGCAGGTGACCTCAGTGTGCCTTTTCGTAAATTTTACACATTTACATGTATATAAAGCAAATACACAAAAAATAACTTAAGCGAGACAATGCACGAGATATCCTTTTGCGTTAAAAGTCTGATAGTGCCTCTACTTAGTCGATTTGAAGCCCTAGTTTATTCTGCATCTAATAGAATCATATCTCCATCTAAATAAACGCTAACAAATTGCTTCTTTGACACTGTTCTGATCAGATCAACGCGACTTTTTGTTAACTAACTGATCGTCACCTTTTCATAAATAGAATATCTGCATACAGAGTAAACTGTCGGAGTTTATGTCGTTCTGTGCTCCATTCCAGGAGTTCTGTCCACTGATCCCTGTAGGTCCAGCGCTGCTGGTAGCTCCGAAGTTGTACTACCGCTGGTCAGCTCGAGCATACTCGACGAGGTTACTGTTGCGGGGTAACCAAAGCTCTGTTGGTTCACAGTGCATGGTGGGTAGCTTTGACCTACTTGGCATGATGGATAAGCAGCTTGTGGGACACTGTAGGACGGGTACATGTGTCCATGCGTATGTGGAAGGAAGCTCGAAGGCATGCCACCCATTGGGTAGGCAGGTCTTGGATAAGGGCTATAGCGCATGTCCATGTGCATTGCCCGCGCACTTGAAAGTTTTAAGTGTGACTGGGACGAGTACGGAACACTTTCGCTGGAATTTGGTGGTAAAATCACTGGTTTGCTATCCTCTGGGATGTGTAGAGTGGACGGACGCGAAAAGTCGCTAAACGGTTGACTATGATGTAAGATATCTGGTGCAGGAAGCGCTTTTTGTACAGGAGAGGGAGAGTGACTCAGAGTGTTCGCACAGGAGCGACCTTTGTCGACTTGTATCACTGGTTTAATGTCCTCAGGTGATGAAGGAAGACCCACTACGGAGTTTTCTGTTGCCGAGGAACCTGAAAAAAAGGCGGGGCATTGATAAGCGTTAGTGTTTATTTGAAGGTCAAAGATAATTGCTCAGAATATTAGTCGTTTGGTAAACAGCAAATGGCATAAACTGAACCACAATAATTAGTGCGATGTAGTTTTTATTACTATTTAACATGTATTAGCACTTTTCTTTTAAACTTTTGGCAAACAGCACAAAGGTAGGCACTGCTGAATAAACCCTTTGATTAAATTCACGCCCTGGAGTAAACAGAGGCAGGGGAAAGTCTATTCAGGAACAGTCGAACATGCAAATCCTCTCCCACACAATGTAACAGACACAATTATGCTCTGGCAGTTTGCAGAGGCAGAATTCTCCAGTAGTCTTTATATGAATTGCTCTTTTGACCTTACGGTCAACATTTAGTCCTATTCTCCACCATTGTCTCAGCTGGCACGGTTATAACCACGCAAGACGTACTACGGTGGACATCACAAAATGTGCTTGAAAAAGCTTCACTGAATTGAAACGTTTGAGTTTACATTCTACATATAAAATAAAATACAGAAACCTTCCTAATTACATCTAAGAGGCAAATAATAATCGCATGCAATATTAGAAGAAAATTACATTATATAGTTTGGGGTTGAGTCCTTTGTCCATTTAAAGGAAAATCTGTTAAAACTTGTAAGCTCAATTATTAGCACAAAAATAGGGTGTGAACTAGTATTTCTTAGTTAATTTCCTAAGCTGTCTAATGTTTAAACACGTGCTGTGCGGCGGAAAATGAAAAAGGCATCTCCTTTGTCAACAGCGCGAACTTTTGGCCAAAAAGATCAAAACTGACCAAAACAATCTTAATGTACTGGACTGTAAAATGAAAAGATGAAATTCACAAGTAGATAATGCTCTGTAAATTTCAGTTGAATGGTCACAAACACTTTCTACTACATGACAACTTGCGCGCAAATAGGCTTTCCGAAAAAAATAGAAGTTAGTAGGAGACGCGGCCGACTTTTAGAAGACCAAACACAGTAGCACCACTAGAAAACAAGAAAACACTTTTAGGGGGATTTTATCTAAGTGGTCAGATTGATAAACAGTACCAAAAAAGTACTCTTCGATGGCTTTAAATTGAATGGTCAAATATATTATGTACCACAAACTTAATAGTTTGTGCTCTTGTGTATCAATGATCTTGTATATCATAACTCACAACACAGCAAAAGAACTCAATGGCTTCCGTTCGGTTTAAGTTGTTTTACTGAAACATTAAGTTCATAGTCCACAGACTCAAAAGTTTAGAGTGAGCTAGCAGGACATGATAAACAGTACTCAGAGGCTTCTACAACTGTATACTCCAGGTCTTTTGACTTTTGTTGATACAAGGACTAAGGAACAAATCCTATTATACTGAAACTAAAAATTGTAATGCGTTTTTCAATGTGTGTGTGTTTTTGTTACCGAGTGCTAGCAATTAGACTTGATGGTGGTGTAGAAAAACAATAAATACAATAGCCTTTACAACTGTATTGAAAAAGTCAAGATGCGTTGAATTCTAAAGGTTTGTATTAGCCAGTACCTTGGCCTGGTTTTTACGTATAACCGTGTTTGTTACAGACCCTTAACTATAGAAAGTAAACACGATAAATAGTCACGATCTAGAATTTTTCAACCAACATTAAGAGAAACGCTTTGGGAAAAATTAAAGAAACTTTTATTTCAACTCAGAGGGGCAGAGGTTAATTGTCAAATTAGGCCGTCGTCAGAGAAAAAAATTTGAAAAAGTTTGGACAAGAAGATAGCGTCAAAGATTGCATTTCAAGAGTCAACACACTGCCGCGGTAGATATTAATGCCTTTCATTTCAAAGTTTCCTTTCACTAATTGTTTACTGCAGCTGAAATATTAATTATTACATTTCAAAAGCTTCCTTTCCGGTACCTTTATTTACACATTTTCCAGCTCGTCAGTGATTTAAAAATAGTTTACTTTTGGATAGGAACGAAAAAAGAGAAAAGAAAAACCAGGACCCCATTCTACTTTAAGCTCGCTGTAATAAAATTAAAAGGTCGCGCGTTGCTCGTTCAACAATCAACTATTCACCCGATTTTTCTGACCTTAAACTTTTAAGACTTCACAAGGATCATAGATGCTAAAGACTAATAAATAAATTGACCATTTCTGTCAAACATATACAGTTCTCATTGGACTCCCGACATTCAGCCAAGAAAAATTTATAGGCGCACGTGTGTTAGTTTACATTTCGAGTGACTCTAGTTTCTTGTTGAATCGCGTTGATTACTATTGAGTCTTAATATTCTGAGGGAAAATGGTTTTGTGACAGTTTGAATTGTTTGGTGTATTTTTGTTCTTCATTCAATGGCGTAATAAGCAAAATTCTCCGTAAATACTTTACATGGCTTAGCAACTAACATCTTTTAAAAGAAACTACCAAGACAAGGAAAGAAGGATTTGTTGGCAATCAGATATAAATAATTAAAACGCTTTCATTACTTAAAACAAACCAGATATTATTTCAAGGCTAACTCGGTTCAATCTTTAAGACCCTTGATTCAAATACTAACTATTAAATGTTGTGACTGGAAGCAAGAGTGTTTCTTTTTTGGGGAGGGGGGATGGTGGTACGTTCAAAATCGGAGGTTTCTGATGAAAACATTACCGAATCTTTAGTTACAATCCAGCAACAAGTAAATAAACTAAAGTAAACAGAGAAGAATTCTCGAACTTAAACGCCATTCAATTACATTATCCGTGATGACTACAAAACATACACACAGAGTGTAGATGGGTCACCCGAGACTAAGAGTTCGTGGCGAAACTGACGGGGAGTAGAATTATAAAATTAAAACATGGATAATTTATTGTACACTGAGACGAATCTTCGGACGAAATGTAAATTAAGCGATGGAGAAAATACTAAGGCAAATAAAAGGAAATTGCGGTCGATACTTTAATGTGATGAATAAGAACCTAACATTTCTCGGTGACGTGATCTCATTCACCTTCAACACGAATACAAGAATCAAAATAGGTGCTTAAAGTTGCGCTTCGCTCCAGCGAAAAAGATGATTGTTTGGTGACGATAAAAACCTGAATGATCTATTGCTGCGTTACTGAGAGACAAACGCGTCGATTGACAGCTTCGCAAACAACAAAGTTAAAAACATTTTTCCTGGTCTTAGTGTTTCCTAGATACCTGGTGTTTAATGAATGCCTAAGTTGACAAAACAAATTGCGAAGACGCACCATTTGTAAAAAAAAAAAAAAAAAAAAAGAAATTAAAACCCAATTCCTTTTCCCTTTTTTTTTAATTTTTTTTTTTTTTTTTTAAAAGTATTGTTTTTATTTTTTTTTTTTACGGTAATTTTGATTTATATTATATTTTTTTTTCGCAATACAAAAAGTTAAAAACATTTTTCCTGGGTTTAGTGTTTTCTAGATACCTGGTGTTTTATGAACGCCTAAATTGGAAAAACAAATTGCGAAGACGCACCATTTTGAAAAAAAAAAAAAAAAAAAAAGAATTTAAACCCGAGGTCCTTTTCCCTTTTCTTTAGAATTTTTTTGTTTCCTTTTAACAGTTTTGTTTTAATTTTTTTTAGCTGGTGAATTCTGGGGGTGAATGCATTGTGTACCATGGTACACAATCGATAAATCTCTTTCCACATGTGATTGGAAAAGTGGTGCGGCAGTCAAACGAGTTACCCATTCAATTCGAGCTAAAAGATATGCTGAAAAAGCTTTTTTCAAGGAAGATTTTTCACCAAATTCTGCTTAAAAGTAAGAATGCCAGATGGCTAAGTAGTCTGTTATGTAAGGCAGATTTTTTTCATCCGCACCTGCGACAAAGTGTGGCGTTTTCATGGACACATTTTCGATTCATTATGTGGGCGGTTCGCTGTTTCATTACAAGCGCCAACAACTCTATTGTTATATTTCAGGCGAACGCTATGGAAAACACTTTTAATGGAGAACACTTTCTATTTAAGTAAAAGGTTCTAAAAAAAACATGGAACAATTTAGTTTGGTATTTGATACGAGAAGGTTGAACACCTTCCCTTCATTTGTGGTTTTATTCAAAACGCAATCAGAGTTTGGCATGGTCTCGATAGAATCAAATCACTACATATATCAACAGAAAGAGCTATCTCACACTTCGCACGTATTGTACTTGTCGAAATATTGTTATGTTTTAATACAACTTTGTGCGACACTGATTGACAAAACTTTTCCAGGCCAGTTCGATGGCTTTTTTTAAACGAGTTTTTGAAAACGTCTGTTTTTAATAAGCTAATGAGCATCTATTCGGGACCAGCACAGTTTGTAACGCGTGTGAAGATGGTTCGTTTGGGAACAAAAGCAGAGCATTTTTAAGCTTAACGTCTAAAAGTCTTCGTTCATTAGTTGCTAAAGCTGTCAACGTCTTGTCTAAATGGGTTGAAGAAATTTACACGTTGCCATCAATAAGAATTTAACCTTGTTTTCTACTTTGCCTTAAAAGCAAATAAGAGTGGTTACCAATTTGCATCTTTTTTAGTTTTACCAGTGGAAAAGCAAAATTATGTATTCTTCTTTGGGACTCCCATGCCGTGAAAACTAAATTTTCCACGCCCATTTTCGAAATACATTTCTGTTGGCCATACAAAAGACTAAAAAACAGCAAGAATAATTCTACCCTGCAATCCATCTACTAGAGTAAAAACTACAGGACATTTTTAGAAACTTGAATCAAATCAAAGGGATAGATTTTGAAATCGATGCAGAAAGGCTTTTTGAATCAAACTTTTTAAAGTCCCTCTTGTATATCCCAAACTCTAAAAGAACCTTGTAAGCAATTCTCAATCAAAGTTGATTGTTTTCAAGGATGTGATGTATTTACACCTTGTGTAAGGACACTGTATATGAACAGAATTAAGAGCTTCCAATCTTTCACACTTGAGCACGCAAACACTAGCACCCAATCTATACATCGAGAAACATACGGAAATGAAATTTCCTCCAAGCCATCTGGAACAAAGCAACAACAATATTGAGAATTTTTTTTCCCGTCAAACGGGTTTTTGACACGCCTTTCTAACTGTTAAGCGAGGAAAGATACTTTGACTAACCGCATCCTTTTTGAAGTTCCTAAAAATAAATCAGTGAAGTTGAATTCTCGACAAAACGTTGGTAAATAGTTAGAAACAGTGGCTAGCTCTGTTTCTGTCACTTTGATAAATAGCACGTTTGGTGCTGAATTCAGTGAGATATTTACGATGATGGCGAAAATTATGGTTAAAGGCTAAAGAAATATAATAGGGAAGCTTTAGAGCTGTTTGTGGTTATATATTCCTCCGTGAACATCGTCCTGAAAATTCTAGCACTAAAGGGGGTATTTAAAATCTACTTCATAAAGGAATCGAAAGGAACAATAATTAAAAGAACTCCCCTGTAGAGATCAGAAGATCCTGTCAAACAATAAACAAATGTTTTATAAGTTCTACTAAGAGCGCCTTAACTTTTTCAAGTGGGACTTTGACTAACGAGAAAAATATTTAAATAATTAGTCAAACCAATTTTCGCCATGATTGAGCGAGTTATAGAACGCTTTGAACAAACAAAAAAGAAAAGATATTGATCTTCCAAAAGAAAGGCCGTTAAACGTTAATCCGTTGCTTAGGAATAAACCTTGCCTCTTAATTCAAGAAGGCAAATAATCTCTACCTGTATCACTAATATTAACAAAAAACGAGGGCTGTTTTTAAGTCACACTAAACCCACTCTTTTTCTTTTTTTGTTTTTAGTGAAAACGTTAATAGTGATACAGCTGTTACCATCCACTTTGAATCATTCGTTTCAATTAATTTTCTTGCACGAGTTTTTTTATCCTTCAATGGAAGGAATAATGCAATCCAGCCTGACGTTATTTCCTAGACTTAATAAGTCAAAGCAACGGTAAATGCGTTTTAAGACGAAACTGCAAAATCTAGCGATGCATCAACGCGTTCGACGAAAGTAATTATTGATGTAGATCGGAGCGATTTTCGAGCCAGAAATAAAAATTAATGGTGTATTTAAGTAAGGAAATAATCGCAAACGTTACAGAACTCCAACGAGTTCCACTCCTTTAGAGTTGATCACCGTTTTAACGAACTGAATTTGGCTACTGGCGAACCGCACTGAGTCGCTTTTTCTTTGAAGGCGCTGACGGCTATTGATACAAAGAAGGCCGCAGCAATAAAGAAAAACTTTTGAACTTACCGGAGTGAATGTCGTTTGTGGAACCACAAGCGCCCGACTCTTTGCCGTTTTCCTCGTCTTCGCTGTTATTTTCATCGTCTTCGTCGTGTAAGGACCCACCAGGGTTACTCCGTTGCCTTCAAGATGAATGAGGAAAGGTGATAAAGAACGTGTGAAAATCGCGCACGCTGGACAAGTTATTGTGGCTTGTTCGCGGCTTTGTGTGTCAAAACAGTTGTTTTTTCATGTTTCTTTGTACCAAGAAATTTGAGGCCTTCGCCTCAGGTATTAAGTTTTTGTACCCAAGGGCCCAGCGTTTAGTGAAAAAGATTAACAGAGTCGTAAGAGGCCCGAGTGAAAAGGAACCTCAAACAAATTGGTGTTACTTTACAGAACAAAATCATTTCGTACCTTCGTTCAAGCCGCCTACGATGTCCTGCTCCTTGCTCGCGAAAACCTTTCGCAAAAGGATTGTTGTCGATTTTCAGCTTAGTTATCTGCCAAAAGAAAAATAAAATCCAGTCAGTCGGATGAAAAAGTTTGAGACGAGGAATAATTTAATAATGCAAGGGGCCAGGTTGGGCCTGTGAAAGAACGATTAACACAACGTGCTATAACCGTAGAAACATTCAGTTAATTCCTGGAAAGTCTTTATAAGCGTTCAAATCATACAAACCACTTTTTTAATCTCAGAAGAAACGTAAACACCCTAAGCCGCAGAGAATCATTTTTCCTTTTCTTATGTCGCAAGAAACGTATTCAGTGACAATTCATAGCTATCAGTAAGACCAGAATTTCCTCACTTACCAGAGAACGTTCTAGAACTGCGTTTAAAGCCCCACAATAAAACATCACAAATTAGGAAGAAATCGATATAAACTACTTTGAAATTGACAATGTTGTTTAAAGGTCTTGAAACTTATGCCCCAACCCCGTCAAAATTTTGGAGTTGTAAGTGAAACAAAGATTTCTATTCACATAGAACTATGAGAACGAGATCGCGCATCTTTTTAATCTACTACAACAGGAAAAATTTATTCCACAACTTTTCTTACTCATGTTCCCCTTTTGCGAGATAACTCTACTTGTTTATAGCGTATTACGATTTTTTTTTCTTTATTTTCTTTTTTCTTTTGGCTTTAAAAGATATGAATAGCTATCAATTCAACAACAAAGCTCAAAAGCTTTCTTGAATAAAAATACAAATACTTCAAACTCCCTCTTAAGCCAAATCGAACTTACGATTACCAAACCACTTTAAAAACAAAATGACGATTTGATTTTCAACACAAACTGGAAAGTAGTAATTAACAGTGAGCTTTAACACAAACCTTCTCATTTTGATAAGCCGTCACTCCAATAAATTCTGTTTCAGGAAATGTGAAAATCTTGTAAATGCTGTAGGGATGTTTGTATGTGTCATCCGCTCTTACAACATGAATCCTAGGACGGTACTTGTGCATAGAATTCAAAATTGTCTAATAAAAAGAGAAGAAAAAAAAGAAGTAAATAAAGAGATAAATCGGCCATCAACAACAATCAACAAACAAAAATAATTACAGATGTGACGGCAAATCGATAGATGATCAAAAACGAATAAAAAGACGGGATTTCAAAGGCTTAAAGAAACTCACGTAGCCGTATTTGTCCGCTATGTTGTTGGTAAGTTTCATTTTATGAAACGAGATTGTTTTCTGCATCCACTGTGCCCCAGTGCTGGGGGAATCAGGATGCATGTACAGTGGTTTAGGCATCTCAGGATCAGCCTTGCCCGCCTCCATCCATCTACAGTTATGAAACTTGTATCGAACATCGTTCACGGGCTGAATGTCCATGAGAAAAAAATACTTCGCTCTAGGGTCCAAGCCGGTCACGCGTGCTTTAATCGGCGGAAACATTCGCCTGTTGACAGAAAAACGAAACTGTTAGCCTCGGGCCGATTGAAATAAACATGGGTGATGAAATCAACAACGGTTCCTGGTCCGCGGGGTTAATAACGTTACACCTAAGGAGTCAATGTGTTCATGGGGGGATTGTTTAGCTTTTTTGCAGACAAAATTGTCGGTTTAAACTGGCATTTGCATCGCTTCGAGACCGCTAGGCGTTTAAATCGACACAATTCCTTCGATGCGAAATTCCAGGAGCTTATATCAACCGCACAACAACCGGCCGGGCTTTACTGGTCACAAGAGAATACATATATTTTCTATACCTTCCTGCCTTGGTAATAACCATTTCTGTTTTCTCCTTGTCGAAAGTCTGCCAAAGCTCCTTGTTTTCCAAATTGACTTGGATATTTTCGTACTCGGAATCGTGAACAGGCATATGGACTTGCTGTGGAGGTCCCGGCATGGAACCTGGTCCGAAGTGAGATGGCTGTTTCGCCATTTGTGTCGGATGGTACGGTGAATATGGAAACGGCCCGTTTGAATTCAAATTATTCGGAATCGACGACCCGCTCCCTGGTACGCCAGGAATAAACTGCGAGCAACCTTCCAGCAAAGAACTGACGCGAAAATCTCTCATCCTTGCTGGGTAGAATGGATAGTAAGCCATTACCGTACGTATGCTTGTCGCTCGCTGGTTCGCTGTTCACGTCTCTTCTCGTCTCACTCACGCTCTCCGCTGAACTCGTGTATTGTTTATGAAGTTTTATTCCAGCTGCGTCGTAACAATGTAGTTGTCATAAGAACTAATGAACCCGACTCTCTGATTGGACGAAAATTTTCAAACAACCAATCAGGCTAAGCGACATTAATCCTTGACATGTGTAATTGACATGCAATCCATTGAGGAGGTGACATTTTTGTGTTCTTTTCTGAAAGAATTAGCACCTTTTCCATGTTCCTTGTCACATATTCTAATGTCAGCCAGTAGATTTCGTCGCCTAACCGACAGTGAACCGATCGCCATTTATATCGCAATGTTTTTTACACTAAAAATGCCACTTTCCCTGTATCACAGCGAGTTCTAAATGGTATGCCCCGCCAAATTCTTCTCTGAGGACGTGGCCAGGAAACTTGCTCACCTGGCATTTATAGCCTGGGGGCAAATTGCCAGATGTGATGTGCAATTTTGTACGAAATTCCACTTCAAGGGTGGGTGTAGTTACTGAGTTACCGTAAGTCCTTAAATTCCATGTAGGTATTCGGTAGATCAACTTATCGCGGAAGGATAGCTTTCAAAATTCTCACCAAAGGCGTCACCTAGGCGCCAATTCTGTTTCAAAATCCGTCCATAGTTTGCCGAAAAGCATACTTTATTAAATTAAGCCCGCAACGAGAAACCAAACTACTGGTAGCCCTTCAATAAACCTAAGCTGAAATTGATAGTCACCACCCCAGTGTTTTCACTGGTAAAACTCAACTACCTGGTCTGTTTCAGCAGGTTGCGTGGTGTTTGGGCAGGTTTTAAGGTACCATAAAGCGGTCTATTTTGGTTTTCACCATTTCGCATGGCTCCCAAAAGTCCAATAATTACTTGCTTTGTTTGTGGCGTGTCTTTTTCACGCGAAACACATCAATTCTAACGTGTCGAGGCACTAAAGTTTCCCCTGGTGTGTTAAAGAGCTCGCAAATTCTCTAAACAGTCAAACAATTTCAGGCGGATAATTGGAGTCCTTTTGTTCAAGGGCGCTCTTTTTTGCCTAGGCCGTGTGGGACTTGATTAACTCTTTCTTTCATTGTTCATCAAAGAGCCTGATGTTATTGAAATGTATTGACTCATCTAATTAGCACATGGCGCGAGCTATATCTGATAAGGCCAACTATTATCAATAAAGAAACCATTATAAAAGACCTAAGACAGAGAGACTTAATTCTTTTATCCAGTTCGGGTATTTTGCTTGCAATCAACTTGCCCTATTTGAGAACGTATTTGAAAAACAAAAGTCACCCTCAAAGAAGTAAACTTTGTCGAGGCTCTTGAAATTAATATTGTGGGGATGAAATGTTTAAATTTTTTATGACTTTTGACTAAACAGCTGTGAAAGAAATATATAGACCACCTTAAAAATTACCAGAAATTTCTGGAAAAAAGAAAAAAAGAAACGTAGTACTGACGAAGAATCTAAACTGCTTTCACTAGAAAAGATAATTAAATGGAGAAATATTTATTTCCTTACAACTGAGAGAAAGGAAAACCACAAATTTGGGATAAATCCGTCGCTTTCATAAGACATCTTCACACGTTCATTCATTCGAACGTTAAAATTCGACGCTCCTCAGGTTTTCGGTGCGCGAAAATTGTTTGTACTTTGGCGCGCTAACTAAATCGTTTATATAAACCTCTTTGACATTTCTCTTCTTCCAAGAGAGGATATAAAAATTAATCTCTCCTCCTTATGTGGAACACGTTTACATAAAAATCAATCCAATCCGAAAGTAGAATTAATTTTAATAACAAAGCAAAAGCCGCAAAAAGTTTTCTCCCCTGTGTTTACCAAAGTAGGGTCACACATCCGTTGCAACTGGACCACTTATAAAGACCAGGAAATTGAAAATCTGCTCCAATAAAGTCCCTATACAGGAGTCATGGCTTTTGCTCGAGTCTGTCAACAAATGCATGAGAATTATGCTTGGTGTTATGCCAACTTGTGAGCGATGAACCACAAAGACTTTCTATCGCTTTCATAGTGAACTAGTGGCTGGAACTAAGGCGATAATCCGTTTGCACCGCGAGCAGGTGAAAGTCATCAAATATGAATGATTCTTTAACAAGAGTTCTTGCAAAGCGATTTAATACTCTTAAAATTCTTTCGATTTTAAACAGACGTTTGCTTTGTCTATAGTCCATAAATCTGTAAAATAACGACGAAAAATGTTGAAAAGTCTTGTTTTTGTCGAAGGTGTCTTATTCCTCTCTCCCACCAGATCTATTCATAGTTAGTACAAACACAACTGCCCAAAGGTGTTGGCTAGTTTGGCACCGCGACATGCTTGTTCCATTCAAAGAAAATATACTCTTAAACGCTCAAGTAAACATGCCAAAAAAATAATATTCCCTAAGTTGCGATTGTTTTAAACTAAGTGTATAAAGAAGCAGTTGACAGAAAAAAAAGGGGGGGGACGCAAGTTTGTGTAAGATTCTTTTACCACTTCGATTCATTGTTTTCAGCAATTCTGCGAGTAGGTTTGTCCAGTTTCAATGTTATTTTCTATGTATTTCTCAGATTTGATGAATATTTTCTTAAAACTCGGAAAATTCGAACAATAACGGCGCATCAACCGTTAAGTAGGTAAAAAGTTTACCTTCGTAAACTGTTCTGTTTTCTCATTTTTTAAAGCAGAATGCCTTCAACGTGATTTTGATATCCAAACACAAGAAAATTTCCTTGGAATTACGCCAACACGTGTTTGTATATATGACATAAATGT